TAATTAATATTTGATTTTAATTCTTGTAATACCTGACAATGCATTTTGATCTTTTATGTGTTTGAAGTGATATACTTTTAGTTCCTCTAATGGTGACTTCTCAATTTACCACACTTTCAGACGTTATATTATTTAAATTCAAAATCTATTCAAATTTTTCCACATAAGTTGAAATTGATAAAAAGAGTATCACATTTACCATTACTAAGCCAAGTGACACTTATGATTATATATATAGTACTTATAAATAATTTAATTACATAAATATTTTTTATACCGTCTACATGTTTTACAATTCATTTAAATATATAGTTAATAAGTTAATGTAACAAAGCAAACTATACATACACACAAACCAAAAGCCGTGAGTCTCAAGTAATATAATTTCGTCTTATTTTGGATTTACAACTTCAAATCACCCCCACCCCCACTTCAAAAATTCACAAATTTCTATAAATTCCTCTCTTTTCCACCTTATTTTATACAATTCCCTTGTTTCTTTCCTCCAAATACCATTTTTTTGTCATGGAAGAGGAATTTCAAGAATCCGAAATCATTTTTCATGAAAATATTGAAAACGAAGAAAATGATCGAGATTACTATGAATTTCAAAATCGCGATTTGATCAGTTCAAACTCTAGGGATTTGCAAAGTAGAAAGAGGTTGAAGCAAATTTCCAATTCTGTCCCTATTAGTATTCCCGATAACTTATCGAGGAATAATTTATGGTTCAAGCACGTGAAAAATAATGAATCGAATTTTTTTGAAGACGAGGAATATGGTGATGACGGAGAAATGGTTCCGCCACACGTGATCACTGGCCGGAGAATCGCCGGAAAAATGATGTCATTTTCAATTTGTAGTGGTTATGGAAGGACACTTAAAGGAAGAGATTTGAGACAAGTAAGGAATTCGATTCTTAGGATGACTGGTTTTCTTGAAACTTAACTTTAGAGTTCAATTTAGAGGGAAAAAAAGATTATTTTTTTTTGAGTTCCAATTATGGGAATCTCATTAATTTCCATTCATCATTGTAATGGAGAAAATACATAAGAATTCAAACGAAATTCCATTAGTTAGATCATGTATATGTATTAAGAAAATCTATTAAAAATGTATAAATTAAATATTAAGTTTCGAATGAAACAATTCAAATGTTTAGTGAATGTTTAATGGTATTCCGAAATTCGTAAAATTCAAATTTTGAGTTTATCTTCGTATGATAAGTTATTTGAGTTGAAGCCAAAGACTTATTGGAGCATAATGGGCCGACTAAACAGTCCATCGGAAATTTGAATTTGACTCTTTTACGTGGTATTCATTCTCGTTTTACTCTTAAAATCGTTTTTCTCTTACATATATATATGGACTCAGAATTGATGTAAAAAAATGAATAGATTACGAAAAAACTTGAATTCGAATTTTGATTATTCCATTGAAATACTTGCTAGATTCTAAAATTATGTCTTTATGCAAAAGAGAAATAATTTATAAATTACAGATTCACTTGAACTTAATAGTTTTGTTGATATTTCATATAAGTGTAAAGAATTTTAGTATAAGATATCAATAGATATTCGTCTGCCAATTCACTTATTACTATATGATATTTAAAATCGACAAAATATATTTATAAATTTAGATATTATTTAAAAGTCGATCTAAAAAGTAATTCGTATAATTCAAAGATTCTTGTGCCATTAACTATTGGTCAATGATTGAAGATGAGAAGGAATTAGTCCATTTTCAATTATTTTCTCACAAACTTATAATTGCTCTACGTATAACTTATAGTCATTTTCTTTGAATATTTATAAATTGTCAATTCAACATATCCTATTAGTTCAAAACTCCTCCCAAACATGCAATAAAATTTTGTCATTGAGCTATTTTAGGCTTAATGCAAGATTCACTCAACCTAGTCATAAAAAAACTAGATAATATATGCAAGTACCCCTATCGTTTGGAGTTATCAAGAAATTAACCTATAATGAATTCAAGAAAATTTTAGATTTTATTTTGTAGGATAAAATGAAAAGGAAATAGTATCCTTAAAATGAGATAGATGGACTATGTACATATATAAGGTATTAAAACGTAAAATTTAGAATCAAATTATTACGATATTGACCACTTAGAATAACGTTTGTGCTCGTTTAAGCTTCTATTATTTTCCAAGAAGACTCAATTTTACTAACAAATAGAAATATAGAGAACTTGTTGTAGATTCGAAGGGAGGAAATAATGGACGTGCTAGTTGAAATTCTTCCTTATTTTTATTTGCCATTTAATTAGAATGTTAATTCACTTCTTATTCAATCTTCAAAGTTCAAGAATTCTTAAATTGTGTGTGTTTTAATCCATGAAATCATATCATGGGTGGCGTATTCAAGTTTTAAACATCATCTATATTTAGAGAAAAGTATTAAGAACACGCCTAAACTATGCACAAATAATTAGTTTCATCTTCAAATTAATGACATCCATAAAAACACTCTTTTACTTGATTAACTGAACTTAAATATACCCCGCTCTTGCAATATTAGTGAAATACACCTTTAAATCTCGCCAAATTTAGGAGTGTTTTTCAACACTTCTATCAGTTTTTTTATCAAAAGACTCATGCTATCTACAAGAGTTTGACACCACTTGCTATGTCATGTGGTAGATCGGGAGTGTATCTAAATTTAGTTAGTCAAGTATAAGGATGTTTTAAGGCTATCAATAGTTCAGTGACGAAACTAATAATTTATGCCAAGATATCAAAGTCAGAACTCATTCTTATGTTGTTGTTCAGAATGTGTGCAAAGCCAAATTTAAAATTTAAAATTTATGAATTTGTACGGACAACTCATATGCACTTCATCTTAAGAAATTTGATAATCTATAAATCTTTCAATCCTGTTTAACCCGCTCTCATCAACTCATCTCTGACTTTAGTAATTTTATCTAAAATAGTGTAGGAGTAAAGGGAGTGTGGCGTGTGACGGCACAATTATTGGCTTGTCGTGTTTAAAATTACTTTTATATAAATAATGTGGGCCCACTAAACCCGGACCGTCCGATTCGTCAACCTATGTGGGGTAGCTTCAAATCAACGGCTCGAATCAAATCATTAGCCAGATAAGATTTTTTTCCATTTCTATTTAAATTATTAGCTAGTTAAAAAGTCGAACAAGTTACGTATTTGATCGCTCGAAAATAAATAATAATAACAAATTTTAAACATATGGAAAATAAATCAACCACACAAATAAAATCTGAAAAAGCATAACTTTATTGATAAATATTGTGGGTACAATTTTGTTCCTCCCTTGATTCTATTTTCCTAAAATTTATTCATGATTCGAGGGCCATTATTAGTGGCGTATTTCTCGGACTATGATGATTTAGATTTGATATATATATGAATATTCCATGACTTTTTGTGGAATATTCGAAATGCCTTTTCAAGAGAATATAATACCCTTATATAGGCATGAACTATATAGGGTTTAGGGTTTAGCCTCTAAGAATTCTAATTGGAATTGAACACATATTGTAAAGTCTCAACTGAAATTGAACACATTTTGTAGAGTCCAACAAAATTTCAATGTCTTACCGTTATATATATTAATTATTATTTTAATGAATAAATATATTTATATCAATTTTTTAAGCGTAATTGTGAAGTATACCATTTATTTGCCTCGTAGTTGCTGCGTTGTTTTTACTTTTGCCGTAGTTTTTTTTTTTAAAATATTTTTTTAATTACATGGTTGTAAGTTTGTTTTAGTCTTGTTCATTTATTTATTCTTTAGTGGGATTATAGTACTTTTAAATTTCTGAATTATTAATTAATATTTGATTTTATTTCTTGTAATACCTGACAATGCATTTTGATCCTTGTAATATATGACAACGCATTTTGATCCTTTATGTGTTTGAAATGATGTACTTTCAGTTTTTCTGATGGTGACTTCTCAATTTACTACACTTTCAAACGTTATACTATTTAAATTCAAAATCTATTCAAATTGAAATTGATAAAAAAGAGTATCACGTTTACCATAATTAAGCCAAAAGTCACTTATGATTATATATAATACTTACCTTATAAACTGTTTAATTGCATAAATATTTTTTATATCGTCTATACGTTTTTCGATATATAGTCAATAAGTTAATGCAACAAAGCAAAACTATAAATACACACAAACCAAAAGCCGTGAGTCTCAAGTAATATAATTTCGTCTTATTTTGGATTTACAGCTTCAAATGTAGGGTCCACACTCAATCACCCCATCCCCTTAAACCCCCGAACCCCCACTTCAAAAATGCACAAATTTCTATAAATTCCTCTCTTTTCCACCTTATTTTATACAATTCCCTTATTTCTTTCCTCCAAATACCATTTTTTGTCATGGAAGAGGAATTTCAAGAATCGGAAGTCATTTTTCAAGAAAATATTGATAACGAAGAAAATGATCGAGACTATTATGAATTTCAAAATCGGGATTTGATGAGTTCAAACTTTAGGAATTCGCAAAGTAGAAAGAGGTTGAAGATTTATGTGTTTGAAATGATGTACTTTCAGTTTTTCTGATGGTGACTTCTCAATTTACTACACTTTCAAACGTTATACTATTTAAATTCAAAATCTATTCAAATTGAAATTGATAAAAAAGAGTATCACGTTTACCATAATTAAGCCAAAAGTCACTTATGATTATATATAATACTTACCTTATAAACTGTTTAATTGCATAAATATTTTTTATATCGTCTATACGTTTTTCGATATATAGTCAATAAGTTAATGCAACAAAGCAAAACTATAAATACACACAAACCAAAAGCCGTGAGTCTCAAGTAATATAATTTCGTCTTATTTTGGATTTACAACTTCAAATCACCCCCACCCCCACTTCAAAAATTCACAAATTTCTATAAATTCCTCTCTTTTCCACCTTATTTTATACAATTCCCTTATTTCTTTCCTCCAAATACCATTTTTTGTCATGGAAGAGGAATTTCAAGAATCCGAAATCATTTTTCATGAAAATATTGAAAACGAAGAAAATGATCGAGATTACTATGAATTTCAAAATCGCGATTTGATCAGTTCAAACTCTAGGGATTTGCAAAGTAGAAAGAGGTTGAAGCAAATTTCCAATTCTGTCCCTATTAGTATTCCCGATAACTTATCGAGGAATAATTTATGGTTCAAGCACGTGAAAAATAATGAATCGAATTTTTTTGAAGACGAGGAATATGGTGATGACGGAGAAATGGTTCCGCCACACATGATCACTGACCGGAGAATCGCCGGAAAAATGATGTCATTTTCAATTTGTAGTGGTTATGGAAGGACACTTAAAGGAAGAGATTTGAGACAAGTAAGGAATTCGATTCTTAGGATGACTGGTTTTCTTGAAACTTAACTTTAGAGTTCAATTTAGAGGGAAAAAAAGATTATTTTTTTTTGAGTTCCAATTATGGGAATCTCATTAATTTCCATTCATCATTGTAATGGAGAAAATACATAAGAATTCAAACGAAATTCCATTAGTTAGATCATGTATATGTATTAAGAAAATCTATTAAAAATGTATAAATATTAAGTTTCGAATGAAACAATTTAAATGTTTAGTGAATGTTTAATGGTATTCTAAAATTCGTAAAATTCAAATTTTGAGTTTATCTTCATATAACATGTTATTTGAGTTGAAGCCAAAGACTTAATTAATTGGAGCATAACGAGCGACTAAACATTCCATTGGAAATTTATTTAAAATCGACAAAAAAATATTTATAAATTTAAATGTAATTTGAAAGTCAATATAAAAAATAACTCATATAAATTTCAAATTATGACTCCTTATACGACAATGCCAATGGTGATTGAGAATTACATGAACTTGTCTCACATAAGCAAAAGCCAAACACAAACAGCTGGTTTTAAAAAGGTGACATGACTTATGTTTCCTTTTAGAAAATGTAATAATTGTGAAATGCACATAAAACTAATGTGTGTTAAAAATACACATCGATATTATTTATTTAATAGGAGTAATAGTTTATGCTATTCAATATTATTTTAAATTATTTGTTTTTATTTAATCATATGCTATTCGAAATTTATTCATATTTAAAAATATAATAAATTCACTGCTAAGAAACATTAAAGATTAGAACTCACAAAATTTAAATTTGAATCCAACTATACTTTAATGACGTTTATATAGTGTGAATTCAAGTTAATCAAGATTTCGATATCAAGTGATAAACTAGAAAGTAAGAGAGGTTACTTCTAATTAATGAGAAAACAAACGACACATTATTAAATGAAAGTCACCTCCAAATATGAATTATAAAAATCTATTAATTATTTCTTTATCTTGAAGTTATTTTAGTATTAATAAAATGAATTAATCTCTGCTGGATATTAGGAGGCCAACAGGTTTCATGGATATAAAGTCAAAAAGTTAATCCAAAGATTAAGCAAAAACTAATCATAGGATAGATATATAGGGGAGAATATTTTTTTCTTAATTTGTACAACTGAAAATCTGACAAAAAAATAATTAACAATGAATAAATAAGATTTAAATAATTAAATAGGAATATTAATGATCTGAAGGTAATTTGTTGTTTAAGGTACCACGTCAGCATGATTAATTACTGAATATATATTCTGACAAAAAAGAAGACGACAAATTAAGGCACTATTATATTGAAATTATAAAATAACCAAAATGTCAAAACAGTATGATTTTGGATCTCAATTCTCAAATTTGATGTCAATATGTATATCAAATATAGAATGATTTTTTTTAAAATTAATAATAATTATTGGTATCAGTTAAAAATAAGTTAAAATTAATTATATGAAAAATTATTTATCATATTCTTTTAGAAAAATATGGTTCAAGCAATCGAGATGTCATATATATGTGGAGTAATTCAATAAAAACTAACATCGATTCTCAGAATTTAATAACGTCATTAATAATTACTTATGAATCTTTTTTCGATTTACAAATTCATTATCACAATTTTTGAGTCAAGTTATCCTTTGAGACAAATAGTTACATTACATATCATCTCAAATTAATATTACGATGAAAAAATATTAATAACATTTTTCTTGTATATATATTTATATTTTATACTAATAAAAAGTAATTCAATGTACAAAATATTTTTGTGTTATTGAGTACATATCTTGAAAGGATTACATCCCATGAGGGGTAGTTTATTCAATCTATTCTAGATTTAATGCAAATATTAATGATTAATTTTACGACTTTAATGCATGATTTAATTTTATATTTATATATTGATATACAAATATTTTCATAATTATAATTTATAAGATTCTGACACTTGGATTATTCTATTTTTTTATTTTATTATTTTAGATGTGCTAGGTGTCAAACTTAAAAGTGAAAAGACTTACGTATTTGTTGCTTTCTTTGATTTGCAACTTAATTTCATGTTTGGACGTTATATAGATTCCAAACTTCCAAAAAAATCATTAATTAATTATTGATATTGACTCATTTGTACACAAACCATTTCTTGCTATTATTATCCATTTATATAAGCTTGTGAATAGATAAGTTTTCTTAGTAGGTCTCGGATTTGAGTTCTGATGATTATTTAAAAAAAAAAATAGTAAATAATAATTTATTTTTATTTTTTTTATAAATGAGTTATATATGATGTGAATTTGAAATGGTCAAATTTAAATAAATGAGTTTTGAACTAGAGACAAAATCTTAACTAAAAATTCTGATGACTTCATCATATATATTTGTTTCTAAATAATTATATATATATTTAGGATGGAATAAACTTATACATATAAATAATAGTCCTATATAATATAATCTAAATAAATTACTTTACCTAACAAGAATAAGACAATTATTATTATTTTATGGGTTGCCATTTAAAAAAAATAAGAAGTGTGTTTACTTGGAGCATTTTATACCACAAAACTTCCAAAATGGAGAACAAAAATAGGGAAAATTTTATTATTTTTTAAAGCTTGATAAAGCTCCATTCTTTATCATCTAACTTTCTTATTTCATTTTAGCAAAATTGAAAATGTTGGAAAACTTCCTAGCTTTGCGGGATTCCTTAAATTTTTTTTTGAATTTATTTTGTCTTTCACGTAAGATCATATGAGTTCAATATTTTTTGGAAATAATTTTTTTACTTTTACGAGGTAAGAAATGGTTCACGTACTCTCTATCAGCCTTCTCTAGACCCCACTTATGAGATCACATTAGGTATATTCTTGTTTTTTTTGGAACCCCGGAACTAGACAAATTTGGTATGCATGACGAGTTCAACTGAGAATGCATTGACAAGGAAAATCAATTAATCTCTGACCTTCTTTATGAATATCACTTGATGCACTAACTCAATTACGAGTTTAATTCAAATATGGAGATTATTGGAGAAATGATATGTTTGTTGTATGCAAGCTCTTTTAAATTAAAATGACTTTCTAACATTTCCTTTTGTTGAAGACTACGTCTAGAATCAAATAAAGCATAATCATTTGAACAAATTATAATTGGTATTTGTATATAAATTTTAATTTATACATTTGCGGTGTAAATTATGTTTATATTTATTAGATTATTCAATTGATATTTACAACAACCTTTGTAATTAAAATATATGATTTTAAAATTTTAAAATAAAATATATAACCTGTTATAAAAGATGAAAATAATCTACATCAATAATATAGGTAGCAGAACATCTAATAAAAAATTAATTAGCTTGAAAGCTGCATATTACAATACAAGTGTGGTGATCAATTTTGATACGTTTTCACATAAAATAGATATACAAATATTAAATTTTATTTTATTGTATGGTAGAAAAACAATAGATATAACTAGGCATGTTTGTGAACATTTTCAAATTTAGTAGATAGAAGAAGAAAAAATCTTGTTAATTTCAAATTAATGTGATCATTAGAGGGTGTAAAAGGGGAAAAAGATACTATATTGAGACACTATCAATTAAATTCAAGAATATTGTTAGTTTCATACTCTTCTACATGCATTTTTGAAATAAGAAGACTTCTGTGTTTTTTAGTTTTTCAATCTGGTGTTTGATATTTATATTAGAGTCTAACTAATTTAGATTCACGTTGGATAAGGTCTCATTCGGGAGAGGTAAGGCATCCTATTAATAATCTTTTCATACTCAAGGGTTGAACTTAAAACCTGATCATCTGATTAAGGGAGGACCAACCTCATCCAAGACACTACGAAGTTATTCAAGAAAACTTCTCTACGATCAAATCAATCATCATATGACTTGATCAAGTAGTTAACCTAATCTTTCGACAACAATCTCTTTATCTCCGTGAAGAAGGAAGTTCGTGTACACTTTATATTTTTCAGACTCAACTTATGAAACTACACTAGACATGTTATTATTGTTGTTGTTGTTATTATACTTGATACGTTATTATAGTTGTTGTTAATTTGAACAAGTAGTTAGTAGGCCTAACACTTCTCTAAAAGGAACAAATGAAGCAATTTTCAGGTATAAATTAGTTCCTCGTACCTTACAAAACCTTGATAAGGTTCTTATCCACTTATTTTATTTTAAGAATTCAAAACGTCTCAATAATATGATTAGCCTAAAAATTGAACTAATAATCTCTAGCTATACATCACAATCTTGATATCACAATCATGGGCAAATTCGATCACTATCAAAAATTAATAATTGAAATTAGTTGTGAACTTTGTTGTTAATCTGTCGTTAGATATGTAACTCGTAACTAATATGATATGTTGACAATTTATTGCTAGCTCGTCACTAAATAAAATTAATCATAAATTTTATTATTTAGCTATAATATTTGTCCACCACTAATATATTGTACTATATTTGTTTAGTTATCCAAATTCAAGTGTATAAAATTTTATGTGAGAATATATATATGAACACACAAAAAAAAATTAAAAGTACAATGAATTTAACGATAAAAACTTTAAAAGACAAATTCATATTGAATTGCTAAAATATTTGTCTAAGAAAATTAAGGAGAATAAGTTAATTTCAAATTAAGTCAAAATAGAAATTGTTCTATTAATTGACGTGAGGTACCCCCAAAAGGGAGAGAATTACGTATTAATAGTAGTTAACAAGTGGTTAGTATTTCCACATTAAGTTTATTCGAACATAATATTTTTTAAGGTGTGTATCAGTCAAATATAAACACATAAAGATGGACGAAAAGAGTAATTTAATAACGTATACATTATGTTTGTTGATTTTTGAGTAGATGCAAGTGACACTTATTTAAGGACCGAATGGAGTACATGATTACACCCTTCTAAGTTCCATAATATGCAATTTTACTAAAATCATTTTTTTTTATAATTTCATCAGCATTCAAGAAAAAAAAATGCAATTAGACTAAAACAAAAGATCAGAATGGATCTTACAAAGCGCTTTAATCACATACCTCGACCAAAAAGTCACTCAAATCTTATGATAAAGATGAGATGAAGCTATGAAGTTAGAAAAAATAAGATAAACATACGAAGTAAACATAATATAATATTTGCCCTCTCTTGTGTTATATAAGGAAAAGTGGAGATATAATAGAATTCTAATTTTTCTTGTACCATAATAACACAATAGAGGACAAAAAAAATATGCTTTGTTTTCTTGTATGATTATCTTATTTTTGAAAGTTCGAGTTAATTCCTTAAATGATCACTCATCAAATTGATGATACTAAGAAAACATGATATATTTTTGTCCATTCTTGTGTTATGCTGCAAGAAAAATGGAATCATATCCTATCCCTTTTTCTTCTTTTTTGTTGTTGTGACTATATCACTATCTCTCTAGAATAATACAAATTAAAGTGAATATGATAGAGTATAACTCTCGATTTCGATTTATGTTGCACATTTCTTTTTATTAATTTGTCTCAGAAAAAAATATTATTTTTATAATTAGAAATAAAAATTAATTTTAATTTTTTTTATTTAGCCTTAATGATATGTATATATAGGTGTAGAAAAGGGTATAGCATCATATATAAAAGATGTTTATATATACATATATATACGCTCTTATACAAAAACTGATTTTATATTTTTTCTTGTACCTCTTTCTCAAATTCACTTCAGATTACTTTAAACTTAAATTTTGGACACAGTAGTGAACTCATATTGTATTGAAACAGATAATTGGGATTATACATACAAATATAAGAGTTCATCGTTATAATTACACCAAATTAGTAACAAATCTTCCAAGGGAAGAAGAAGAAATAAAAAGGAAGAAGGGAGGGAGGTTCCAGAATTAATCTAAGCAACTAAGAAGTAAAAGACAACTTCATAACATAGTCGTAATAGATTAATTTACTCTTCAATATATAGGCATCTTCCCAGGATTCCAAATGTAATGTGATATATTCCTACATGGGTCCTCCATCTTAGTTATATTCACACCCAAATAACTAACAAATTCGAAAATCTCAATTTCCTAAAGGGAAAATAAATAAATATATCCTCGAATTATATATCATAAATGATATGTTAATATCCTCTGTTATACTTTAAAGTTGTATATACCCTTATCGTCAAATTTTTGGGTTATGTATATTCTTAAAACTAATTGAGGCTTCATCTCAATAATTTATCCAATTTTATTTAAAAATTTTACCCAAAATAAAAAAATTCACTCATCTTCCATAATTACCCACCCATGAACCGAATTAAAATACCATAACATTTAAATCAAACGAAAGAAAAAAAATGTTCCTCAATTGATCATCGTTTGTAGCCATTCCAAATTTCACTAAAACAAAAACACAATACCATGTGCTTTTATTGAAAAATAAGAGAGTCATTTCATCTTTTTGTTCAAATCGATTTTTCGTTGTTGAAAGGGGTTGAAAATATTATCATCACTGACGAACAAAGCTCCAAAATTAAAAGTGGATTTGCAGTTAAATAAAAAATTTCGAATTCAAATTAATTTATTGTTAAAAAGGGTTGAAAATATTACTATCATTGACTAATAAAGCCTCAGCAAGTATTATATGAAATAATTAATATCATAGAAAAATATCGTCAAGGTACGAAATCATTTATGAACATTTCATAACCATGTGGTCATCTTCAGGTTAATTTCTGATCTCTAAATTTACTATTTGTAAAATTAAAATCATAAAATTATTTTTATAATAATAATAATAATAATAATACTAAACTAATTTTATAGTAATATTAAAGTTGCAGAGTTAGTTTTTGTATATATTTTAACAAATTAATTTCTCCTTTTGCAGAACTTATATTTTAAATTTATGTTAGACGTGATCTCCACACCTAATTTCTTTCATCCCAATTTATTAACTGTAAAATAAATAATATTTAATTGAATAGATACATAAATTATATATCATATAATCATGTTGACCCTACTTAAGATAATGATTAAGTACAATTGCACTTAAAGAAAAAAGATTATACAAAGATTTGGATGTTAAACACATTGGGGTAGACATTATCGTTCCTACTTAAATTTTAATTCCCCGAGATACTTGTCATCTTTTCAGTAACAACAAGTACTACGTAACAATGCCCATCAAGGCTAGGACAGTATATGGATAGATAGAGAAAAAATCACCTAGTATTTTTCATCTCTGATAAAATTTAAACTTGAAACCTCAACTAGTAAGTATTTTTTCATCCTTAATCAAAGGTTTCAATTCTCATAGGGTTCGCAATCGCCTTTGTTAGTGAATGTGTTATTCCTAACGTGACTGGTATGAACTTTTCGACGCGAACTTAAATTTATTCAGAACCTAAATTATGTCTACCTTGAGATGTCCTAGAATTATACAATCCCACCCAACCCTACCCTCCTTTAAATTCAATTATCGTCAGAATATTTTGATATATTTTTTTGCAAGAATGTAAAATTCATCGTAAACATTTTTTTTATGTTAATGCATTTTTTTTTTTTGGAGTAAGCTACATATATAATTTATTTATGTGTACATTTTTTTTCAAATAGTAATTGAGTTAGTAGTGTTTTACGACTAAATAATAATCAATCTAATATATATTTAGAAATATATTATTATATATTTAAGTAACCTTAAATAAACCGACAAGAATTTCTTTAAATTAATTTGATTTGATTTTCACTGTTGGAAAAATTGAATTAATTTCCTCTTTAAAAGCGATCTAAATCAAATCATCAACATAAACAGAAACATAATAATAATAATAATAATAATATAAGTAAAAGAAACGTAAATATGGTCCCACTACAATATTTGACAACTGTTGATTTACATAATTTGGTTGTACTTATCATAAAATATTTCCCACTCTGAGCTGTCCAAAAAATTATATATATATATATAAAAGCTTGCTTTATATTATTATATAATATGATATATATGTGAATTTTCAAACATATCTTTTAAGCAAAAATGGAAATTTCTGGAGCAGGTGGTTTGTTCTCAACTTATTCAATTTGTAGTAATGCTGCTGGAATTGCTGGTAACTTCTTCTTTCTAATCTTTTGGGCAGATTTTAGGTTCGATTAATTTAGATTCGTGATATATAAAGTCCATCGCATGGAAAACGACTAAGCTTCCTGCAAGGGCGAACTCATGGTTTGTCTGTAAAACTAGTTATATGTTTTTTAAGATTTGATATAATATTATCTGCTAACACTCATGTTATAAGAAAGTGGTGCACTTGGTTTAAAAGTTTTTACCTAGAGGATTTAGGGGTCAATTCTCACTTGATACTCGTCTCTATTAGGATCAAACGCTTACCATTATGTCAAAAGATATAGTTGATAGTAAAGGCGCAATTTTATTTCTTAACTAAGTCCACCATGCAAGAGCCATTTTTAATTATGACTCCGACCCAGATCACCCCAGCCTCCTCATGGACCTTGCCATAAGCAGGATGTTGGCGTTACCCAACACTCCCTTAATAGGACTAATAGACCTGACCCTACTCGAGTCCTCTGGTTGAGGGTGAAGCATCCTGAATTGGCCTCTAGCTCCCTACAAGAAATTTCTCCCTTTATAGGACTACTAGATCCGACCTACCCGAACTTTCTGATTAAGGGTGAAAACTTTCATCTATCCCACCACAATGTTTTGGCTTTGAAATAACTTGTACAATTTGTTTTTGAATCATGCTAGTGACATAATATTTTGGTTTTGGCATATTGCAGGGAACCTTTTTGCATTTGTTTTATTTGTATCACCAATGTAAGTATCCTAAATTTTACAAAAAAAATCGTATATTAATACGTCGATAACACACGTATACGTGTGTGTATGTGTGTGCGCGTTTAAATTGACGTTTTCGATCCCCTTTTTCAGACCAACATTCAGAAGGATCATAAGAAACAAGTCAACAGAACAATTTTCTGGGCTGCCTTATATATATGCCTTGTTGAATTGCTTAATATGTCTATGGTATGGAACACCAATTGTATCTCCTGGTATTATATTGGTTTTTACTGTTAATTCCGTCGGAGCGGTTTTTCAGTTGGCTTATATACTCATATTCATCGTATATGCAGAGAGAACGAAGAAGGTAAGGTCATTTACCTCTCGTTGAATTGTGTGATCATTTCATCTAAACAATGCATTTTGTTTTCAAAGATGAGTTACAGATGAGTCGATTTGATCACCTCCACATACAAACGTTTAATACTGTACTGAACTGTGTGACTATCTCATTTGAAAGCTTAAGATGTTTTAGAGAATGGAACCTATTATTTACTTAATTATGTCTTCAACGTCCTTTAATAAGAAATGATGCTAATACACTTACATGTTCAATGCAGTTGAAGATGTTGGGGCTGTTGTTTGGTGTTTTTACTGCATTTGCTGCTGTGTTTTCCATCAGCATCTGTCTATTTCAACCTCCAAATCGACAAACTTTCGTTGGATATTTGTCTGTCATCTCTCTCATCTCCATGTTTGCTTCTCCGTTGTTCATTATTGTAAGTTGATCAACAAGAACAACGCGTGATTAAAGTATTTTTCATCGATATCGTTAGCTCAAAGAGACTAACAGAGTACTTTTTCACTTCTGCAGAATTTGGTGATCAGAACAAGAAGTGTTGAGTACATGCCATTCTATCTCTCCCTTGCAACTTTTCTAATGAGCCTTTCCTTCTTTGCTTATGGAATGTTTAAGAAAGATCCATTTATCTATGTAAGTAACTGGATTTCCTTTGTTGTTTCCCTTTTTAATAGAAGTACCCGAAAGATACGGAAGGGAGAGTCTTGGAGTAACAGTAAAGTTGTTTTCGTGGGATCTTATATGTCACGGGTTGCTTACATCTAGGTAGATAATCTACATTACACCCTTGTGTATAGAATTTAATATTTTGATCTCTATGAATCAGGTTCCAAATGGGATAGGAGGAGTTCTTGGGATCATACAACTAGTCTTGTACTGGAGATACAGCAGACCTAATGAGGAGCCAACAAGACCTCTCTTGGAGTCCAATGCATGAAAAGATTAAGGCTGAGCGGTAAATACTGACTCGCATTCAGTGTTTACACCAAACTAAATATAGTTTATATACGAGACATATGTCTTGTATCATGGATTTGGTATAAACACCAGGTTTGGCTCATCCTTTTCACATCGAAAAGTCGTCCAAAAATTGTTTTTTCTGTTGTCATTCTTTTGGTTGGTATAATGTTCCATTTGTGATTTGTTATGTGCTTGGGGAAGTAACGCAGAACACGCGAATTGTAGAGGCATGAATTCAAACCAAACAGTTTTCCGCGATTAGAAAGTGCAAACATCAATACACGAGTTAGTCAAACCAGAAGCTTATCAAATGAGAAACTAAATCAGTGCCTACCAACTTTCCGGTACGAATTGTGTTTCTTGCAATCCCACATTGCATCAAGAACTATACTGTGTAACGATTCTTGGCATTTCTGTCGAGCCTCTTTGCATCGTCCTGCAAAAGAAGATGATTCCTTGTGAGTCTTGCTAATTGAAGAGAAACTGAATTCAAGGCGTACGATAACCAAGATTTCATACATGAAATATGAAGCCAACCGAATCGCTATGATCTAGAAACTGCTTCCATTGCTTACCAATGCTAACCTGTAAAGAGAAGTTTCAGGAAGATGGTAAGTACAGTTGCAAAGATATAAAAACAAAAAGCTAAGCACTAACATAAAAGTAATCAACCGGTAAACAGCTGAAAGGATTCAATATCATCAATGAAGCACAGAAAGGAACACCGACGACTATATAATTCTAGCAGAATGAAGTACACTGGATAAAAAGAAACGAAGAGACAGGGGCGAAAGAAAAGGGAATTTATATGAAGCATAAAACAAATGACGAGACAAAACAATATTACACTTCGCAAGGATATCTAAATGTTACAATCATATGAACATGAAATGATAATAATACTTAACCCTTGAGACCACCAAGGGGATCCCTCCGCCCTTAGCCATGGTTCTCGGGTTTGAGCCCTAATGGAGAAATTTCTCATAACCGAGCAATTCCTATTTTAATGGACTGGCATGAATCTGGATTAGTCGGGGGGGAGGGGGGGGGGGGTT